ATAAAATGACAGTAATATATGACAACGCACGACAAACATATTACTCACTTTTACCATATGGAATGGGGTAAATGTGCATTTGTATAAACCCATATAATAATGAAACCCAAAATTGTAGTAACGCTGTTTTCCTACAGCAAATTCTAAAAACATACTCGTTTTAAGATATTAAAACTAAAATAATTAAGCTATAAGAATGTGCAACATTTATTTCCATTTCAAAGCAAAAATGTCTAGAAGTAAATGTTGCATGCTGTTTCATTTTCTTACACGTTTCATTCAGCTTTGATTTTTAATCGGTAATTTTAATTAGAAAAGAGCTATTAACGGTATAAAAACTGATTGTATTGAGAGAGAATATGCTTGTTTGAAAAAAGCTGTCAGTTATAAGGGCTTTTAATGCATTCTTATGGTTGTTCGTTACATAACATATACTTCACTCACTTTTTTTTAATTTCTAAAACACATAAAATTCTAACAACAGACAAATCATTAAGATGCGAGAAGTTAAAAAGTGAACATATTTATTTAACAATCATATGAATCTTGGCATGAAAACAAAATCTGAAAGAATAAAAATCAATTACTTGTTATAATCAATATTTCCTTTTTCACTTCAAATAATTTGTTTGAATATATTTTAATTCCTCTTTTAAAATGCTTTCACTTCTACCATTACCCGACGAGACATTAAACAGTTCTACATAGTATGTAAATGTACATTACAAACTTCAAATGTTTTATAACTGTTTGTATTCAGCTTTCGCATAGACATGAACAGCCAAGTATTTCAGAAAGCACATGTACCATTACATGCAAAATATGTGTCATCACAAATGCCATGGATGAGATTAATCGTTGGTACCTTTGCACGGACAGTCACCTCTCCTCCATCACCACTTGCTCAATTAAATATCAAGTTTCTCTTAGTAAATACATGCGCCTTGTAGGGCAAGTTACTTAACTGATAGCACTAGTATTCTGTTATTCAAAACAAGAAACATTTATTTAAGTACACATCTTTTATTGGTAAGAACAGGCAATAACACATATTTTCTCTCTTAGCAAAATTGCCTCCGATTATTGTGTACAGTTAAGGTAGTAAATAAGTTGACTTAATAGCACATACGTGTAAAGTATTTTCGCTTTTTCCCCTGGTTTACTAATAATCAAAATCTGACATTATCAACAAACGTGTCAATGCTTTGCTAACAGTCATCAATCATTGTTTAAGTGTTCTTTACATATTTCGAGGCATCACTCTATAACTAAGTTGACATTGCACAAATTTATATTAATTAACTACCTTGATTTGACCGTGATTTGTTTAGCATCTACCTGTATAAACCAACCTGTATGATTTATTAGTTTCTGACACGTTTTTGTTTGCATTGTCTGAATTTTTGTCGAGAATTTTAATTTCGTTTTGTAAAATATTGTTTCCCCTGAAGCAGATGGTCATTTAACATTTCATTTCTGTATTTTGTGTATAAAGTGATATTGAAACTTATTATGACCATTTGTAAGAGTAGTAGCAGACACATTACTTCTTCGTCTAGTCAAAATAAAAACAACAAAAGTTTGTTTGTTTGATTTTTTTGTGTGTCAATTTTTCTATTATATATTTTGCACTTTCTTCGTACATCAAAGTATAAACAAATTCTAAAAAGAGAAGATTTCACAAAAAATATGATAACGAGATTGTATTCCAATCAACGCAGTCAATGACTTCTTTTTTACCCAAGTTAATAAGCAATTAACTAAAGGCAGACGACAGATTGTTTTTCTGAAGCAAAACGTTTGAGTGAAGAAAATATCATACTATTGTATATAGATCAGACGCTAACATAATCAAGAATATAATTAAAAAGTAATACTTCCGTTGCTTATGAAATATTATTTAATTAATAGTTTCAAAACTTGTCTACAAATGTCAATTACTTTTTTCTGATAATATGTCTAAGAAAGCACAATGAATACAAGTTTTCGTGTTGTTATTTTCTTTCTTTATTTACTGTGTGAATGTGTAGACGTCTGATTTTAGATTCTTTTGAAATATAAACATTGGTTTTATCTGTCTGACCTCTTTAAAGGTACGCTTGGTTCTGCATATGTTAGTATTTTTCCTACAATCGCATGATCTAGTATAACACAGGTGACAGTAATATGGACCTTTCCGGTTTTAAGCATTTCAAATTTAGTCCAAACCTATTGTTTTGCTAGATCAACTGCACATAAATAGTATCACAAACAAGAGCAAGTGTTTTCTGTCTTAACAAGATCAACCAGTGACTATGTTTAATCCCAGTGTTAATGAGATAGCCAGTCTTTTAACGTACTGTTAACATTGAAAAAGGTCCATTTATACCCATATTGCCATAAAGACTAACTACTTTGAAACTTCATGGCGCATTGCACATATTGCATGGTATTTTCCAATAATAACTGATATTTCATACCAAAGTTGCCGGTCTCTAGTATTTGGTATCCTTTTAATGTAAATATAGTTTATTGACAATTTGTTTATTTAGTTTGGTTTCCTGTATACATATGATGTCTAACGGAGATATTACATTATAAAATAGTTTTGTATTTCGTTACATTTGTTGTTTTTTTTTGTTGTTTTTTTTTGTCCGTTTCATTCCATATAATTTTCAAGATAAAATGCCGAGGTTAGTTTCATTATTACTATTATTTTGATGCGTTGTCCCAAGTCCCCGCCATTTTATCTACAATTTGGATTATATGAGCCGTGTCATGACAAAACCAACATGGTGGGTTTGCGACCAGCATGGATCCAGACCAGCCTGCGCATCCGCGCAGTCTGATCAGGATCCATGCTGTTCGCTATCAGTTTCGGTACTTGTAATAGGGTTTATAAGCGAACAGCTTCGATCCTGATCAGACTGCGCGGATGCGCAGGCTGGTCTGGTTTCTATGCTGGTCGCAAACCCACTATGTTGGTTTTGTCGTGACATGGCTCAATTATTATATTCTTATATTATTTTTTTTTGTATTAAACTCTGTTAGCGTCACGTGTCATAGTTAGATGATTCTCCCATTTGTAAGGAATGGAAATTATCTCCAATTTTTCTCCCATTTATCGAAATGGGACTTTCCTTCTAAAAACAGAAAGGGAAATTTTAACCATGGGTGGATTTTTTCCGCAAGCAAAGAAAATAGGAGGATTTTTAAACATTACTTTCTTAAGTTTATATGTACACAATAAAATATCTGAAGAAATTATTAATAATTTGATTGCACTTTCTTTTTAATGCTATTGCGATGTTTACTTTTCCATTTTCTTGGCACGTAATTATTTCGCTTAGTAAACAATTATGTCTTAAACATTGTATAATATGTCCATGGTGTTCAAATATGTGCTGAGAAAATTCCTGATAAATTAGTTTCTTATCAACAATACTTGAATCTTTCATGACAAAATGTCCACAAAGTCGTCTTTACAATGACATCTCCACTAAGAGTGTGAAATATTAGTTTTTAAAAATATCGAACTAATTGCTTTTGTAGAGTCTATATTACATTAGTTTGTACAGAATAAAGTGAAACATCTGACACATTATGTAATATCTAAGCGGCATAGGGCATAGAAATATATTAGATGTGAAAAAACTGATAATTGCTACACAGTCTCTTTTTAAATGTACAACAAATACACACAGAGTATTGACCAACAATATTGACCTGGAACTTCATTAACTTTCGTGTAGGTCATTGGATAAACACTGGCACATGTATCTTACGACTGTATTAATATATTTGTTAACTTCACAAGTCCGGGAGTTGTTGTGTGCTGGTATAGCCTTTTCAACTGCAAAAGTTTATTTTTTTATTATAACAGTTCTTAACTTGATTTATAATGTTATACATACATTGCAACCTGTGTAAATCGACCATCTGTACAGCAATTACCTCCTTACAACAGCAGTTTAGATTATTTCCAAAGTGAGACATCACAATAAATTTAACCTCCCATGGGCATTACCTCTTAGCAAGAACCAAATTATTATTTCTCTCAAAGGGTGTTTCTCTTCAGAGGTTAGGTAAATGATAATTTTTATTATCATGTGTAAAGTTATGATCACAAGTGCATCAAGTGAGGCAGGTAATACTGGAACCCGAAAAACATATCATATGTCCATGTTCATGTGGAATGATGATGCCCATCATTGTTCACAAACAATAAAGGCTTTACATGACAAGATTTTATATAGAAAAAATATTCACTCAATACATAATACATGTAACTATGAGGTAATAACGAATTTTACAAAATTTGACGAGGTTTATTACTTGTGAACAAAGATTGACATGATATAAAGAAACGTTCTTTCATCTGACGTAATGTTATTCAACTCGTTTAATAGATTTAATATTGAACATTCCCTCATTCATTTCAATATTCTCCATTTTTTGAAAAAAACTTTGATTTTAAACCCTTGAACTGTTGAATTTCTTCGTGGACGTGTTAAGTTTCCATTTCTGGAAATTTTGGAGATATCAAGATGAAAATTTGTAGTAAACACTACAGCTTATTATGGTTCTATATTGGTGGCAAACCTTATTACATTTCGGTCCTTGCATGATAGTAAGTCATAAATTTAGAATGACTGTTGTATCAAATTACCTTACAGTTATTATAGTGCAAGGGAAGTAACCAATTTACTAAAACATCCTGCATAAAATCAGGGTTATCTGTCAGCTTTGTGAATCTCCCGACTTCCGCAGATGGAAAACATCGAATAAATCATTAATTTGTTTATTCCGGCTCATTCGCTAATTGATAATTTCGATCGACAAACTTATCGTATTTTGAATTTAATTGAACATAAATACATGTATATATTTTAATCTGTTCAGCTGTTCAACACAACAAATGTTGACACTGAAAATTAATGTTGTGACATACCTTTCGCTATTTCATCGTAAATGAAAGTTTACGTAAAACCTTATATAAACGTTAATAATAAAAACACTCATCAAACAAAATGTAAAAATTTATTAAAGCTTTATTATGAAATTACTAACAACAAACCCTTTTTTTATTAAATGAGAAGGCAAATGTTAATGAAGCACATATTATATCACAGAAAACATAATAGAAATGTAGTTAGAACCAATATTAATATGTTTGATTCTATGATACCACAGTTGCTGGTGATTGGGACATCGGCTTCAGCGCAAGAATTCGGAGACGAGTAACTGCCGACACAAGATGCGTACGCCATCACGTGAGCAATATAGTGCTGTTCATGAACGCCGTGAAAAAGATGAGCCATAGGTCCTTGTGCATATATAGCGACATCTTCACCACCATGGCTCTCTGATTCTAGAGGCACTCCAGCCTGTTGTCTGTAATTCATGTCAGCTGAAAAGATAATTGCATGTAATATATAATAACCAACCTGATCCACTCGGCTATCATGCTTTGCAATAGACATCTGACATATAAGCCGAAATATTGGAACTATTTTCAGTCAGATGGTAAAATAAAGGCCTCCATGGGGCGCTTTTGTGGCAGAAGTGATATAGATATGTTTATTTTTGACAGTGATATTATGAAATTTAGAACTGTAAATTTCCCTTCGAAATCTGGCATTGACAAAGAATGAAGAAGTTGTAGAAGTTGTGTTCCTTTTTTTTTTCGCGAACGAACACAGCCTTATAATCTGGCCTAATTGCGTTGGTGTATTCGTGTCCTGCGTATAAGGCCTCTTTACGAAGAATACGAGAAAAGCCGACGTTTTACGATTGATACAATACTGTCAGATTCAAGATATCAAGTAAGAATTTTACCACTTACTTCATTGAATAATGTTAATTAACTAATTTCTCACATTATTCAAATTTGATATTTTAATGTACCAACATCACCCTTGATAAAAAAACATTATCATTAACTCTGTATCATATTTATTTTGGCATGAACACAGATCATACTTTTCTAAGTGACAAGTCTTACTGCTTCTAAGTGACAATTCTTACTGCTTTGCAAAGGGCGTTCGTCCACATTTTCTACTAACCAAATCGTTGCCAAATCGTTGCAATAACTGCAAGAACTCAGTATCTCAGACGATAAACAGCCGGAATTTTGCACATCATGCACGGACTTTAATGCATGATCTATTTGCATACCAAACATTAACACAATAACGTATAATAAATATTTTAAATTATTGTTTTGTTATGTTAACATATGCTGGTTACAGACTTAAAATAATTATATGTATGTTAAAGATATTGAATACCTGTATTAGTGTTTGTTAGGTTTGGTCTGACTTTGGGTTCTATTGCCGCGTATCCACCTGGCCCATTTGCGTAATTTAATGTAGTGAACGGTTTGTTGTCTTTGGCCAACAAGGCGTGTCCCTTTCGATCGTCTGTGAAACCTGCAGAAAAATTGTACAAGTATTATCTAAAATCATAGGTTTCAAATAGTTACCGCAGTCATAACCAAAGTTTGTTGCCAAGATCTCAAGATATGCGAGTATAATTCAGGCAAGGCGTTAAAATGATGCCATAAACAACAATTGCGTGTCCTAGCTACACACATATAGACACATGCATATGAGTATATTCAACATTTATAATATTTGAATCATTGAATAAATGAATAAATAAGCTCAAAATATGGTTATTAATGTAAGAAATTAGTTATCACCAATTAAATTTCATCAAATCGTGAAGGTTCAAATTTACCAAAAATAGGATTGCCCCTGGTCGGGTACCCGCCCATAGTAAACGTATGTGAATGGTCCGCCGTTGTTATTACTAACGTGTCCTTGGTGTCGGTCAATGACATACCAGTCTGCACGGCGTCAGCAAATGCTAAAGTATCATGGAGAGACCTTACTGCCTGGCCGTAATGATGGGCGTGATCTATCCGTCCACCTGAAACAAAGCAAAGCACGACATCATTCAAAAATTAAGCTGATACATCAATGTGCGTGCGGTGATAGTTCTTGTATTTGTTGTTACGTTCTGATATTTTAAGAAGTATAATCATATGATAAGAACACATTAAGATACATCGTGCGTTATTGACTTCCACTTCAGTGTTGTTATATTTTTCTGGTCCTTTGGGATGAATGATTTCAGAAAATTGTGTACTGCTCAAGCCGTTTCTGGCGAGTGGGACGTGAGGGATGATGCACCTTTTCATATACCAACATGTACAGACTTAATCAGACTGAGTCTGCAATTTTCATGTAATTTTGCTGTTATTTATGCTTCTTTATGCTTCTTTACAAAACCGGCCTGTTGGTCTGTCATGAAAGTGCGAAACAAAGCTAAGAATAATAGTGATTGTTATAGCTTGTGTTGGAATCATACTACATATGACTCCGAAATCATTCATAATATCTTGCCTTCTGTCAAGTGGTTAAAATTGTAATTACAAAAGAAAATCAATTTATAATAAATACAATCAGTTTCTTACAGTACAAAATCTACCGTCGGTTCCCCATGGTATATATTCCGTAAATACTTAGTATGTACAGAGTATGGGCAAACTTACGCAGATCAAAATCAAACATTTAACGTAGAAGAGCGACAAACAACTCTTGTATCATAGTTTGGAGACCTTTCTGTTGAAAATGTGTCAGGGTTAAATCGTATACATATACATGCACAGTGCGTTAACTGGAGTGCGGGTATTAGTTACCCGCACCCCAGAGCATGCCCATTGATTGGCTCATTTTTGCTGGGGTTTACATATTGTGACGGCAGAGAAAGGGAAAGCGACAGAAATGTCATATTCAGATGTTCGTTCATTGGTTCATTTTTGCCGGGGTTTCATATTTTGACAACAGGGAACGTGCTTTTATGTTTGACTATGATACAAAAGAGAAAGAACACCAAAACACTCGGCAATCTGATTAATACTCGGGGGCTACGCCCCCTCGTACAGATCAGATAGCCTCGTGTTTCGGTGCTCTTTCTATTACTTAACTATCCCAAGTCCTACACACATTACCACTTTGAAGTTGGAATCATGCAAGTCAATGTCAAAATGTTTGGAAACAAACTTATACAAAAAACAGTTACTCATCATTCCCAGCATGCAATAGATGTAATGTAATACCTGGTTTTATTACTGATATAATTACTATTTTTATATTACCTTCGACAAGTAGGAAAAACCCTTTCTCATTTTTACTGAGTATTTTTATCGCCATCTCTGTCATTTCTTTTAAATGCGGCTCATCATTCCCTCGTTCTATTTCAAATTTCATGTGACCTTTGTTGAATAAACCTGCAAAAGACATACGTTAAGAATAAGTTTTCAAAAGTATTGCATACATTCTATAAGATTAGTTTTATAATAATCAGCAATTTCATTTTATGGCACGGTATAATTTTTGTAACATGAGTAACGAATGAATTCATTTAACCTCCGACACACAATAAAGTAAATTTTGGAAAAATTTAGATTGAACAAAAAAACATATGTGACATTCAGAATCAATTTAAGAACGCCAAAGCACTGTCAACCAATTATAACAAAATCGTCAACCAAGATATCGTCATCTGGTATACAGTAACCGTTTTGTGTTTTCTAATTTTTTAATATTTTAATATCCTAATCCGAAGAATGCCGGAAAGAAGCGAAAAAACTTGCGTTTGTAAGATTATAAACAACTGTTCTTTATGATATAAATTTTAGACAACGATCAAGATGGCTTACCAAATAGATATTCAGTCTCAGCAGGATTTATATCTTTAAATGCAGTGTTGTTCCAGACATATTTATAAGATCTTTTCAGCTTTTTCTGTTTGTCCTGCCATTCCTGAAATATGTATGTTATACAATCGACAATAATGATAAAAAGCATGTACATTATAAAATATAATATGTTATTAAAGCAGCTCGCGCACACATTAAATTTTATGAGCATAAACTTAACAAACGAACGAACGAACAAACGGACAAAAAACTCATAAGACAGATATGAAAATAGTAATAGAGAGGTTTAAGAATAGTTACGCAATTTACACGAAATATTATTGTATACTTTATGCAAAATAATGACAAAATACATTTTTTTTAAATTTAAATGAAAAGCAAAATAATTTCTTAAATCATGTTTCATTAAATACATGCAAACATTTCTCATAAACACGTACACAAATGTAGTAATATATAATATTTTATACATTAACATAAACAATAGCATTACATGGGAAAGCAATGCTTTTTACTTAAAACAATGTACCTGTATCAAATCTCGGCCATCTGTTCGTCCATTGGTAATAGTGCCACTTTGAGGATCATCAGTGTTGTTCTTAAGAAATTTCTCCCGACCTCCTCCTAGAATAACCTGAAATATAACAAGTATGTACTGAAACATTACACAAATGATTTATAACTTCTAACAATAAGGCGCATATATGTAATTTCTCAAATTAAGGCGCACATGTATAAGTTCTCACAATAACATACCCATATATAACTTCTCAAAATAAGGCTCACATATATAAATGTTCAATTTATGTGTAACGCGTATCACAGAATGATGTAGGTTACAATTTGCATTTTTCATTAGCCGTTTGTGTCAACCAAATACTTGATATAGTTGATATTGTTATAGTATATCTGTTACTCAGAATCTCATTATTACTTTTTCATTGATATAAGCACGTTGTAATATTGTGCAGTATAATTATGTGTAACACCACTTTTATATTACACACTTACATGATGGTAATGACCACTAGTCTACTAGAATGAAGTTTCGTTAATCGCATATTTAACATATTTGAATATTGTTTACTTTCCTAGTGTAGAACTTGAATTTTCGTTTCGTTTAAGAACTACACTTATAAAACAAATAATACAATAAACAATTGCTCGATTTCATGTTCCGGCCTTGCTAGATTTGTTTTTCGTATAAGGCTGGTTATTGCATGAGATCGTATATCGGCGATGTATGTTTCTTGATTGAATCACATTTTGCTAGACAGTTATGCCAGAATGACGTTAACGAGTTCTTAAATGATGTACATTTTTGTATACTGTACTGATATACTAATACTAAGTAATACTAAGTATCTAGATATGTACGTTAAAAGTATGCTTTCACTGTAAACATAATGTTACATAAATAATAGAATCCTATAATTATTATACAAGAAAGAATAAAATCTCTAACTTGTACTGTTGTATACAGTATATTTACTAAACTCATGACCATAGATTCGCTTATTGTTTTCATGTTTACTGTTTTGGAAAGTATTATGTGACTTATAGGCCCAATGGGCCGTGTGCATGCCTTTATGTAACTGTATATTGTCATCATTATTTATGTTTGCACATGTCCCTTTAATAAAATATTTACTTACTTACTTACGTATAACTTCTCGCATCAAGACGCACATAAGTGTATGACCTTCCGCATTAAGACGTACATAATGATTCTAATTCCCGCATTAAGACGCACATTATGATTCTAATTCCCGCATTAAGACGCACATAATGATTCTAATTCTCGCATTAAGACGCACCAAATTATTTTAACTTCTCACAATTAGGCACACATAATTATATAACTTCTTGCATTGAGACTATCATTTAAATTTTTGCATTAAGACGCACATAATTACATAAATTCTCGCATTAAGCTGCACACAATTATATAACTTCTCATATGTAATTCCTAACAATAAGGCGCACACATAATCAGTATATAACACATTCTAACACTATCGGATTTTTTTTCTATATAAACAAAGAAGGCCCGAAGGGTGCATTATTCTTCAACAATGCACTCGCCGTTCTTATTACCTCCCTGTGTATTTTCACATTGAGGGCGCCATTTGGTTTAAAAAATCTAATAAATAAAAACACTTGTTGTCGAATTTTGTTGTGAAAGCTATCTAGAATGAAAGAAAATGGTCTAACTAAGAAAATGAATCCGAACACCAATATCTTTAGTCGTTAACGCTGTACAGACGTTTTAAGTGTTGTTTACGTGACGTCACAATGTAGCGCCAAACAGCACGTGCAAAACAATCAAATCAAGTACGCTATTTTAATGTCGCAAACGAGTTAAGTTTTACATTTATTTCACTTTTAAATATTTGTATTTCGCTTGAAAAATTATAAAGTGAAATAAAATAAACAAACAAAGTTTTTCCAACGTTTTCAAAATTCGTTATTCTCAAAATGTTTCTACACACGGTAGATTTAACGACAGGTTTTTTCAACCCACTGGAACAGCCTTTAAAGAACGTTTCTATGGGAAACTCTCAGGCGAAAACAAATTTAACCACCAAACATAAAGTCCAACTTTATAATAATAATTCTAATTTTTCTTGACGTGTTAGAATGGAAATAGATATTTATTCTTCGTGCATTATTGTATAATAATGCACTTTTTTCGTTCAAATGCTTTGTAATTAATCACTCAGGCCTATCGGCCTTCGTGATTATATTACTACGCATTTGAACTCAAACCGTGCATTATTCTACAACAATGCACTCAGAATTAATATCTATTTCCTAATTAAATGCGCCTTAGTGTGCCAGTTGTGAGAACTTGTTGAATAAAATATTTTCTTCATAATAAATCATTACTCAACTCGTTTAATAAAATCTGTATTGAACCTACACGGACCGCCTCCGTGGTCGAGGGGTTAGAGTCGATGACTTCTAATCCAGTTACCTCTCTGGCGTGGGTTCGGTAGTTTAGCGCGGAGGAAGGTAGTCTAGTACTGGTGTAACTCTTCAGGAACGATGGTTAGGAAACTACCCGCCTATATGACTGAAATACTGTTGGAAAAAGGCGTAAAATGACACAAACAAACAAACAATTGAACCTACACTCACCCAATACCCTCTCTGATTTGAAATGTTTCATGTTTGTGTGTTGTTGTTGTTGTTTTGTTTGTTTTTGTTTTTTGCTGTTGCTTTTCTTCTTTTTTCTTTCTTTTTTCGTGGGGGGGGATTATTTTCAACTTATGTTCATCTTAATGAAGTATACCAAACTGGATAAACAAAACTACATTACTATAAATCTTCTTGACTTATGTAATCTTGATAAATTTATCACTTTAAGTTTTTTGTAGCGTTTTTTTTTTTAAACTCGCTGACTTAAAATTACGTATGAAATTATAATCATGACACAGATTACGGATATTTAGAGATTGGACTGCCTTAAGTACGAAGTATGGACTGATTCTGTATTCTTTCACAGACAGGAAATTATCGCCTCTATATTACTTAGTTGTGAGGAAGTATAAATTTAAAAATTATGTTTATTTACAGAACTCACATCTACCCAAGATTGTCAAAGATAAGTAAATAGTAAGCTTTATTTACCAGGGTGTTGTGTAAAGTTTTATTTTTTACATTTTTCAGTTGCAATGTTATATGCAAACATTCGTAATTAATACATTTCTCTGTAGTTTAAATTAAATGGTTTGAAACAAGTTTCGTACAATTCACTGCATGATTCAAATTATATCTTGATGCACAAGCATACTTTTGTGACAGACAAATTATGTATCAGTGTATCAAAAAATACATCACGTGACTAATCTATATATTGACATGTGTATCACATAACTAACCCGTATATTGACATGTGTATCACATAACTTACCAGTATATTGACATGTGTATCACATAGCTTACCAGCATATATTGACACGTGTATCGCGTGTCTTATCTGTATATTGACATGTGTATCACATAACTTACCAGTATATTGACATGTGTATCACATAACTTACCAGCATATATTGACACGTGTATCGCGTGTCTTATCTGTATATTGACATGTGTATCACATAACTAACCTGTATATTAACATGTGTATCACATAACTAACCCGTATATTGACACGTGTATCGCGTGCCTAATCTGTATATTGACTTGTGTATCACATAACTAACCTGTATATTGACATGTGTATCATGTGACAAACCTGTATATTACCACGAGTAACACATAAACTTACCAGTATATTGACATATGTATCACATAACAAACCTGTATATTGACAAGTGTATCACATAACTAATCTGTATATTGACATTTGAATAAGTGCCTAACAAGTATATTGACATGTGTATCCCATACATAATCTGTATATTGACATGTGTAACACATAACTAACCAGCATATTGACACGTGTATCACATGACAAACCTGTATATTGACACCTGTATCACGTGACAAACTTGTATATTGACACGTGTATCACGTGACTAACCTGTATATCTATGTTAGCGTCTATCAGCTGGGCAGCAATGTCAGTACAATTACCAACATGGTCATCAATATCGGCATCATTCTCCCAGTTACGTTCAGGTGTATGTGCGTACAGGGCGGCGGGGGTGGCGTGAGTCACACGTGTTGTTGTCACTAAACCCACAGATTTTCCTGACAAAAAAACCAACAATAATTAGATAATGATCTACTGGATTTGATCACACTTGGCATAATTAGCGTATTCAGCATTACGCACACGTTTAATCAGCACTGTAACACCGTAAAACTTCACAGCGTACTTCGATGTCAAACTCATTGCGTGGTCAAAATCAAAAGAAAGTGCGATCGGTCGTTTGCCTGATGTTAATAAGTTGTTGCATATGTACATGTTTAACGCGATTTGGAAACAAACTTTGGACACAAAAGTACGTAACGCACTTTGGGGTCGGGCTCCACTGAGCGCTTGATCCGAAAATGCGGTGTTACATAGCAATCCGAAATTCGTACAACCAACATACAATAATAGAAAATGTACGGAAACCTTGATGGTACAGATATAAATTATGTAAATAAGCAGGACATTGTACAATCTCTTATTTACATTCACTACTACAGTATTTTGATAGTGTCATCTCACATCTAATTTAGTTTCGGCAGGTTTCAATTAATTAGCAATTTACCAACGTACATATAGATACTATTAAATGATTCCAGACACACCCTAGATATTGAATGTGTAAATGTACCTCCACTTAGGTCCGAAAGCCTTAAAATATAACATTTTAAATTCAACAAAGGCTTTGCATGCTTATGAAATTGTGCACAATGTAAATATAATTGCTTTAAAGAAACAAAGTAAGCAAATGATATGACATTTTGCAGTCATATCTTCATGATTCATCAAATGGTATATTAAACTGTATTAAATGGTATATAAATCTGTATTAAATGGTATATAAATCACAAACACAAAAATATTCCCAGTCGTTTTATGTAAACTCCTGTAATGATGTGCCTTTAATGTATATACACTTAACAAAAGTTCTAACCGATCACTTTTTAAATTTTGATTATTTTATAACGGGTCAATAGATCCTTATAAAATTTTGCAGAGGTGATTTTTGTGTCATTTTCTACCGATTTGTGGAATGAAAAATAATTAAATACGGTTCCATGCACTCACGCGGGAGACAGGGCGCGGTTTACACATTTTGGCACGAGATGTTCGTGCAGAGCGTGGTGAGTATTAAATTTTACATTGCATAAATCCTTGTTAACTTTATAAGTGAAAAAACATATAACATGGCACGAATGTCGATGCAGGATCGTGCCGTAGCAGTTGGAACGTGAATGCTGGAGCCTCTATCAGACGGGAGTGGCTGTTCATAAAAATATTTTTTTTAAAATATCGATAAAGTATTATTTAAATAGAAAAATGTTATAATTTTATTATTCTCAATGTGTTCAATCTCTTCGAAATAAAATAAAAGTCGGATCTATTGGTATTATTCTTTTTCATATATAAGCGTAAACTCAGGGTGATCGGTTAGAACTTTTGTTCAGTGTATATGTAGTGACAGTTGTTCATCAAAGCAGATATATAAGCGATTAACAAGCCTAACTAACTTTTTAATTTCATGACGTTTTATTATTTATACCTGCTTGTTGAGACCAGTGTAGGATTGTTTTTAATTTTGTTTCTTCACTCATGGAGGCACACTTGCCTCGTCTTGCTCTAGCATCACATCCTATTAGTCCAAAGTTAGTTTTAATGCCGCTGAAATAAGCCGTCGCCGTTCCTGCCGAGTCAGCAGTTTGCGCATCTTGGTTATATGTCTGTAAACAATAATAAGAACAAAAACAACAACAGATGACATGGTCCCCCAAAAAAACCTGGGACTTTTTTGAGTACCATGCATGAAGATGCCTGGTTGGTCGATGTATTAATGAGTTTATTCTTTTGTGGCAATCATTTTTATAAAGGTGAATGCACGCTCAGGTTCGTCGATGTGTAAATGATCTAATTATTTTGTAGTAATCTAATCGTATATTTTCTTACTTCTTTACTGTTCTTATCTAAAAAAATTAAACTTTTTTTAATGAAAATGTTGTTCTATATGTTAATTAAGTGGAGGAAGTTGAACATGTGTTTTACTGTACCAAAATCAAATGGTTCCCGCAGGCTCGTTTTTTTTTCAAGCAACCGTTTATATAAAGCTTTATAATGCTGCAAGTTTGTAACGTCACTTTTCATTGGATAATCGTGACGTTTATATTATAAGTTATGCAGATTTTTGACAGGTTATATGGCCCTATATAAAAGGCAATTTGAAAATATAACCGAACCGCTAGGCGAGGGTTATATTTCAAACAACCGTTTACATACGGTTATATAACCTGTCAGGAATATTTATACCGAATTTATAATACAGCAAACTTCCTTTTTTTTTCAGAAAAAAGGTGAGATTTCTTAGAAAATTGACAGTAGCCATGTAATGAAAATGGACGTTACAAACGTGCAGTATTTTAAAGATTAATATACTGTATACGGTTGCTGTCAAATTATGAAGAAATCTCACTTTTTCTCTAAACAAAGATGATTGCTGTTTTTGTTTTTTTTAAAAATCGTTATAAATATTCATGGAAGGTTATATGACGCAGATAAACGGTGGTTTGCAATATAACCGTTGACATTGGGTCATAATACCTGAAAAAATATTACAATATAACCTGTGAAAAATCTGTATAACCAATAATGTTCACAGTACCAGAATAAACGGGTTCCTGCTGCCGGTGTTACGTTTTATAAATGTCATGAATATAGTCGCAAATATACCACTATTTATAAATAAAATTATCTAAATTATCTGTGAACGGAAGAGAACAATGAAACAAGTTTAACGTTGAAAATTAACCATACATTTTAGCTAAGATAGCTATGAAATTATAATAAAGTAGTACAGTGTGCTATCAAAACATAATAAACAACGCCACATATTTTAAACTTAAAGGCCAATTTAGCCACAAACTCACAAAAAGGATCTCGAAAAAAAAAATTGATGTCCTGTGACAGTTCTCATTGGCCGAGCTGACCTATCTTTTGCATTTTGTAAAATTTTATACAATTAAAGTGATTTAGTATTTTATATGGAAGTCAAAATTTTTCATGTGATATTTTCATCCATTGCTTAAAATGTATAAAATACATGGTGGCCGTATTTAAAGAAGTTCTTAATTCTGGGCGTAAATGTGTCTTTAATTAAACAAATTGGTGGCTAACCAAGTTCGATTATGAGGAAATCTTTTGAAGAAAGCGAACAACCCATTTTCCTACTTGTGTCTAAATTTTTATCCTGGTAAATTGTTTCATTTAGATAATGTTTTAACATATAGCAATGCAAATTGTTTTATTTAAATATCGAGATGTTTCTTTTATTGCGCCTAAGAATATACCTAGATTGCATTCAATATGTGTGGTAAAGTACTGAAATCTTGTTTTATAGTGCAAAAAATTAACATATGAGCCGCGTCATGACAAAACCAACGTAATGGGTTTGCGACCAGCATGGATCCAGACCAGCCTGCGCATCCGCGCAGTCTGATCAGGATCCATGCTGTTCGCTTACAAACCCTATAACAAGTAGAAAAACTGATAGCGAACAGCATTGATCCTGATCAGACTGCGCGGATGCGTAGGCTGGTCTGGATCCATGCTGGTCGCAAACCCATTATGTTGGTTTTGTCGTGACACGGCTCATATTATATCAATTGCACACTAACGATAACTGCAATAAACACTTCATTGATATTGTATTTAGAGGCTGTCGAATTTATGATTCATATAAGACAAGATGACGGTCAAGTATTGGTCACACTGTCCATTTAATTTATCCCCTTAACTTATTATTATTAAGGCACTTCAAAATTTGGTTAATCAAATTCTTGAAGTTGAAATGATATTTCATGTAAGTGCATGAAAATAATAAAATTTGCTGCTCGAATAAATTAACCTGTGGCGAATATACATAACATGTTTTAACGCAAATAACAAGATCTCTATGAGAAATTATCACTCGCGCACTTATATGTTTCGTTAATTTCAACAAATGTTATCAGACAAGTGTCTTCTTGATTAAAATACTCATCAATTGTGGAAATACGTGGTCTAAACCCATTGATCGAGATTAGACAGATAATCCTATTTCAAGGTACACAAAATTTACAATCTAATAAGCCTATACATGTATATATAATATATGTGGTCTGGCCAGGCGCCAATATCTTGCGTTATCATATTAAGTATTATTTGCAAGGCTAGTGCATGTACCGGACAAGGGTTGGAAACACTTCATATCTAACTGAATACAAGTTTGCTTCTTTAAAAAGAAGCATGCAAGAGGTCTTTTTGCAGCTGTTGAAGATTGGTTTATTTCGAAAATATTTGGAGATATAAAAGGCACCAGAGATGTTCCAAAACGGGCATAAAGTATGTTAATCAAACAATTTTAAGTCCCAGATTTACATTAGAAATGTATATATCATTTGATTGGAATAAACAATATATACTGCTGCATGCCTCCAACCACAATATGGCAAGAAAATCAAACTTGAGAAAAAGTTGTGCCATTTTCGCCATTTGCGCCAAAAAATCTCCGTTGCGTAATTTAGTCATACCAGTTCAAAAGTGAAAGTAGCAGCAAATTTTCGGTACACCGTTCACTCGGTCATATAATAGTGCATGGTGATATTGTGCTATAATGTTCACTGTTCCTAATTTTTGGAACATGAAATAGTAAAACGCTATTCAGAAAACAATAATCGATTTATACAGTTTAAAGGATTAAAAACGGAATGAACCATTGCTCGTAGTGTTAAGTAACGTAAATGATATTTTCCGATTTTTCCTTGTACCGATTTGTTCACTTCGATGTTAATTTTTCGTTTAAGTTAAGTCGTATTTTGAGGCAGAGCATGCGCATAACATTTTTTGTAGACTGATTCTAATGTTTTAAGGCTTAAAATAAGATACATAAGCTTCAATTTGATACGCAAAAATGGATGCCGCCAGCAATCATTCTCAACACTGTGGAGAGGTCTGATGACCTCTCCAATTATTGGTTTAAGTAGGTGACGTAATAAAATCAAAAGCGCAATCACAAGGCAAGATAGAAGTTTGTGTCTACTTGTTATTGGTAAACAATTCATTAGTTAGCGAGATGAGCCTTTAAATGCATAGTTAACCTTTGAGCTAGATACATGGGGAACATGCGTTTTATAATGCTGTACAAATAATATAGAGCATGTAAGATGCTTAATTATCATTAGCGGAAAATACCATTAAAAATGAAATGATATCGTGGTAATTGGGCTTCCATACAAAGTATTTAATCGCTATATATTATATATATTATATATATACTTATTGCCTAAACGCAAAAGAAGCAAAAGATGACCCAATGAGTACCTTTTGGGAAATTGTAACTGGGTGAAAAAAAGGGAAATATTTCTGAAAAAAAAATGAGTTTTTGAAAACAGAAATAGGCAGAATGGACACTTAAATTCAAATCTTACAATAAACACAATTGTTTTCCTACCTTTGACAGGCCAACATGTGGGAAATGTTCAAAACTCAAAAGTTCTTCTTCTCCTGTTTTATTTTTAAGTTGACCTTGCAAAATTCTCGCCGCTGTCACCGTCGAAACGCCCATTCCATCCCCAAGAAATACGATAACATTTTTAGCTACGGCAAGATTTGGTTGCATTTGCTTTGCTTTCTTGAGCTCATTGTTTGCCAGATCGTTCCAATGCTTTCGAGCTGAAACATAAAAAAGAAATGTTTTACAAATGATCTCCGTATGCATTTCTTTTTTAATAGGTGTGAAAGGGAGTGGCATTATTTTTTTCGCAACTAACATTAATGCCAAAATCACAACAACTGAAGACCTCTTCTTAGATAAAAAAAAACAAATATACACGCGCATGCGCACACACTCGCACGCATGTGTACAAGCACACACATACAGACATATGTGCAGACATTCGCGTTCTTTGTTAAAATTGATTTTATTTGATCCTATTTTACATTGTATATGATACAGACATATATATATACATGAATATAATATGAGCCGTGTCACGACAAAACCAACATAATGGGTTTGCGACCAACATGGATCCAGACCAGCCTGCGCGGATGAGTATAACATGTATAATTTAGTAAATGCAGCTTGCAAACAAGAACCTTTTTTATTATCTTTAATATTTGAGAAGAAGCAGACTTAAATTTTGCCCTCTAGAAAATAGTAATTTTATTCTGAGTCTCCTAATGTTTGGTATTTTACATCGCTCAAAGAAAAGTATTGTCCCACATACGGCTTCTTTTACGAATGTATAAAGCAAAACTCACTTTCACCATTTGCAGAATAGGAATATTCCGCCGCCAAAACCAATCCTGTCTGTAGCATAATAAAATAGAGCAAACACACTTTGGTATCCATCTTTTACAGACAGTCAGTTAAATTTTAAGAAGCACACGTGTGACTGTTAATGCTCCCAAAACTGGACTGATAAGAGTACCTAGGGTGGCTAGACTGATTTAAGACTGATATAAGATATAAGCAAGGTACAAATGTAGTATGCTGCACAATCAAGGTCTTATCTCATTTAACCTATTTGCACCTGGTATTACACATTTAAAGTTATTTAATTTGGTCATAAAACAAATTCAAGTGCGACATATTATTCAATTAGTTTGCTAGAATGATATTATATTCTCCGTCAAAATGATAAATTATCGTTTTATTATGACTGCATTGCCAGCGAATATGTTCGAAACACAAGGCTATTTGATTTGTTCGAGAGGGTGTAGCCCCCGTTTATAAATCAGATTGCCGAAGTTTTGATGTTCTTTCTCTTCTGTATCAAAGGCAAAAATAATACGTTCTTTGATGTCACAATATGAAACCCCAGAAAAAAGTATTCACTGAACGTGCATCTGATTATGATATTTCTATCGCTATCCCTTTCTCTGTCCTGTCGTCACAATAACAGAAAAAAATGAGCCAATCAATGGGCATGCTCTGGAGAGCGGGTAACTAATACCTGCACTTCAGTTCACGTATGTGCATGTACTCGTATGTTTATTTAACTATGATGAATTTTCAACAGAAAGGTCCCCCAAAATAAGTTACAAATATTAAATGTATTCAAATCACTTTATGTACCCTACGTCACGCGATGTCAAGTCAACTCGTCCCTTGGTCAACTCGACCCGTTGTCAACTCGACACATTTTTGGTCAGCTTACCTCGTGCTTTTGGTCAACTCGTCCCTACATTGGCCAATTCTTCACTATTTTTTAAATATATCGGACGGAATTAATTGGTTTAAATCCTTTGAGATCTTTTAATAAAAGAAAATGATTATATTACAATTTTATCTGTATTAAAATACGTAGTTTTAAGTTAAATTGGATTTGATCTTAGTGATGACTTAGTTTACATTCTTATAAATCTTACATATTAAGGCTCATATATAAAATAATCAACAAAACGCAAATATATAGCTTTGATATAATGATACAAATACAGTTAAATTAATTTGCAGACATCCAATCTTAAAACTAGTAGAAAACGACTTTCTCAACAATTATAACAGGAAAGGGACCCAAGACTCCTATTTCTCATTGTACACTTACAATAATTTAATTAGCGGACACAGAGACAGAGATCTACATCTCTGGCGGACATAGCAAAAACAGGTGTATATCTTATTTAAAAAAAACTCTTGTACGGGTTTTAATATCGTAGGACAACTTACCAAGCAATATTTACAGACAAAATCTAGAACATAATTCAGAAAACTAACCGTATTAAAGATTTTTAAGGAATGGAGATCTGTGTATTTTTAATTTTTGAAAATCTCTAGTAACGGTGACAAAGTAACTCCCTTGCTACATGCCTTTATTTACACTATGATAAAATTGTCTGATAATGTAATTAATACAGGTGACGAGTTAAGGGACGAGTTGATCAAAAAGGTGACGAGTTGACTACGAGCAGATAAGGGACGAGTAAACTTGAAATCCGTCATGCCAGTAAATTTAGCTGAAATTATGAATTCGTTTAACAAAATTGTGAAATTTTACAAAGTTCGACAACAACGGATTGTAATGTTCATCGAACGCAGATACCGAAAACATGCAGCCACACAGGACATACCGGAAGTAACACACGAACCACCGGAAGTAACACAGGAACTACCGGAAGGCACCCAGGACGGCTCAAAACAGAAACAGGACATAGCTCATTACTTTGTACCTCGATTTTTGAAATATCGTTGACCTAAACTTAATTACTTCATTGTAGTTACGGTGATAATAATAACAGCAAGAGCTGTTATAAGAACAAATAACACTTGTACATCAGACAAAGTTATGCCTTATAAAAACTTGCCAAATAGACACTTTCTATTTTCGTCCCACCAATTCATGCACCCATTAGATGCATGTTCACACGTTAAATAGCCCTTTGCAGAGAAAATGGTGCTTCACCAAAACTTCACATCCATGTATTAAACATGCTCTAATATATTGTTTATCACGAGTGTTTTAATCAAATGTGACATAATGTGATGGCCACGATCAGTAAGACTGGTACATCCTGGTATATAAGATTTATACTACCTGTTCGATTTCATACTTTTATTAGTGGTTGTGGTGATTTTGTAATTTTGTAGGTTATTTGTTGTTGTTGTTGTTGTTTTGTTGTTGTTGTTGTTTTGTTTTTGTTTTTGTTGTTGTTGTTCAAATAAAAACATAAAATAGATGAATGTACGGTATGGTATGAATGCATTAAACATTGACACCATCCCCCTGACCTCTTCATTTATTTTGTCTGTCACCTTTGGATACATTTGACAAGAATTGACGTTACTATGACAACTATAGTTTTATTTATGACAACATATTATAGTTTAAATAAGCACGTATACCTGTACGCTAGTGTATTGTTTATAAATGAAAACTATAAGTTATATTAGCTGTATATCGTAGTTATGTTATTGAGTTAACATAATTATCAACAAATTTACATGTACATGATGTATGAAGTCAGTACGTTGGTTAAATTTGCTGGACCTTATATAATTGCTTTTATAAACATCTTTAAGTTTAAATTAAATTAAATTCATTCATTATTTATTCATTCAAGTTTAAACAAACAATAAAATATCTGCAAAGGGCTTAAATAAAACCATGATGTCTGCGTTCGTATAACTTCGTGATGTTTTCATTCATTCATTCATTCATTCATTTTTTTATTCATTAATTAATTTATTTATCCATTCATTTTTTCACTCGTTCATTGTTCCTTTCTTCTCTTCTTTATTCCTCTATAAAACGGAGCCTTTTTTAAAACAAACTCAAGCGACATATTTGACAATATATCAACAGAAATGTTTGAAACAAAGGAAAACCCGGAATCCGAATACATTTAGAAACAAGACTGTTGGTACGTATATTTTATAGAGCTTATATATCTGTCGTATTAGAACTTTTAGATTCAGATTTTTCCGTAATTTTAATGCGTGTCTGACCATTTTTTTTGTTATTTTATCTACATATTTTCTTATTTATCGCTCACAGCATTTTTTAGTGTCCATCTGGTATATTGAACATATAAACATGAAGTAAAACTCACTTACTTTCACCGTTCCCAGAATAAAGCTGCTGCCCCTTGGCCAAAACACATCTTGAAATCATCCAAACATAAAACACTGTACACAACTTTACATCCATCTTAACAGATCATAAGAAATTTTATGGTAAAAAAAAATGACACGTGCGGTAATATTACCGTCCTATTGTACAGACTGGTAAGTTAACAAGTGCATCCTGTATACCGGTGATACGCTGCTGTAAGTTGATCTAGAAATTGTTGCTTAAAGCTGCACGTTTCCATCATATTCGTGACTGCGGGGTAGGAGGCAGAGGGCTTGGGTCGGGTGGTGTGTCGAAGGAAGTTTGTTCGCCTTTCGATGGTCTTTTATTATTAGTTTTTATTGCATTTTCCAAGGGTCATGTGAGAATGCTGCGGATTTGGTGCGGTGGTCTGGAAAAAAAAGAGCTTTTTAATCTACCGAGAGGCTTTTTGGTTTAACTGCAATTCCACTGAGGCGCTATTTAGTTGTTTGGTTTTCTTTTTTTTTTTCTTTTCTTTTTTTTTTGGGGGGGGGAGTTGTTTTTGTTGTTGTTGTTATTTTTTGTTGTTGTTTTGTTGTTTTTGTTGTTGTTGGTGGTGGTGTTGTTGTTTATTTAAACAAAATAAAAATGATTCTATAATGTCTTTACTAACTTTTATTAACAACAGTGGTTGACTGGGAGATCATTGCAGTCTGTGCTGGGATTCGAACCGCCTCATTGTCTACTGTTATACATGGAAGTCCATGATAACGACTTTTTACCTAAAAATAATTCATCTTACTTTCTTTAACATTTAGCCTACTGTCAGTGCCAGTGAACACTAAGATCATGGTTAACTTAGCTATTCAGTCAGTATTTTGAAACTTTCCCTTAAAGCAGCATGCCTCCAGATTCATGCTAATTGTCATGAAAAATTGAAAATGTATTTAATATTATGTTATTGTGAAGGTATCAAAAGAATGCAATTTACACATTATCAATGGCACTTACAACCCATGTAAAATAAAGAGGTCAAAATATGCAAAAATAGCCCATATTGCGTTAGTAACGCAGTAGAAATATAGTTATAAATACTGAAAAATCGGTCATTAATGGCACATAAAATGTAAATTATTACTAGAATTTTGAATCTTTATACTTTTCCTAAAATTTTAGAACATTTTTCTCAGGTTTGATTTTATCGAAATTTCTTTGCTCATCTGGAGGGGTGCAGCTTTAAATGTCGGATGATTGTTTGTCCACACTGAAAAATGCCCAAGTCTATTTAAGTTAATGTGCGAGGTAAGTGTTAATGGTTTTTCCAGAAGTTATCAACGATTCTATTTATTTTAAGAATGTGATTTCACAGAAAAACACCGACCGACCCTCTTTATTTATTTTTTTTTAAAAAGGGAAATAGAACCATTAAAGTTCACGTAACACGATAAAAAAAGAAACTGCGGTAGAGCCTCCGAAAGAAATATATATCACATTTACATGTTGGGTATGACCCCTTGTGTCTGTGAAATAATCTAGTCTACTTAAACATGTTAAAGATATGTGTGTGTATTTGAGTATATTTATACTCGACACCGGTTGCCCATTTCGGCGAGTCCTCTATAAGAGTATTATTAGTCATTTTATATTTTGGAGGATAGTGCAAGATACATATACAGACATACTCCCCAATTCTTGAAGTTTCTTCTGATTCTTTAACGTGCCAAATGTTTAAACGCTTATACACGGGACCTCGATTTAAAGTATCGCCCATAAGACTGATTAGTGATCTTAGTTGGCCAGTACGGGAATCGAAGCCACAATGTCGAGATTACATATCTCGCGCTCTAACCGCTTCTGATATGCTAGATATGCAAGCTGGCAAATACTACTTCACCAAGTCTGAATAAACATTGTCCTGTGAAACTTTATCATCAGATCCTGTTATTAATATTTGTTTTATATATAACGTCCTTCCTTGTTAGAAATGTAAACACCATGTCATATATTAATAATTTAAGTTAAGGTGCGGTTAATATCTATTTAATTTACATCATCTGCATACATGTCAAACAGAGTGTACAATAGACACGAATCCAGAAATTTCCAGTTAGGTATACTTTAATTTGAAAGTAAAAATTCAGCAACAACAAAATTAACCCCTTCCTATGGGGAGTCTGGAGTCCTCCGTCTGGACGAAAAAATTAAATCTGCTTATTAATTGGTAGCTTCTGGAGATTTAATTTTAGGTTTAAATTTTAAGATAGACGTGCCTTCTCCAGACTAAAAATATATAGAGGATCTCTGAAAAGGGTTTACAAATAAAATGAAGTTTCCGTATGAAAATCAAAATACTACTTTTTTTTAAAAAAAATGTTGATACCTTTCTGACAAATCGTTTCACATTCAATACTATGGTGACTATCATCTCCTATGTTCTAAGACAATTATGACAACTTCTTAAACGACATATTTCTGTTGTTTAAAATAATCTCTGAGGCATAATGTGCCTTTAAGAACCATTTTACTGTGTTACGGCACGGATCCACTCGACATAGTTCGGCTACTGGAAAAAACATATATTAATCTCTGAGGCATAATGTGCCTTTAAGAATCATTTTTCTCCATCCACGGATCCACTGCAGTACAATACAAGTAAAACACGAGCGTAATCTACGCTCGAAACCTGACACTAAGTCTTATCTTCCGTTTTTTTAGACAATCGTTTCATATATTTATATACTAAGGCTGAACTGATTCTTAATTAAAAGGAGCATTATGTCTCAGAAATTAATATTATGTTCCATCTGCCGAAAGGACAAATACATGCTTTATAATTTTGTAATTATAATGGAACAAATGAGATGATTCAACCCTGAAAAAAGAAGTATTGAATGTTAAATAGGTTGTTATAGGGTAGCAAATTGAAAACAAAGACATATTTTGACTTCTATGCAAAATACTTAATCACAATAACTGTACTCATTGCCAAAACGCAAAAAAGGCGAATTGCCTAAGCTATATGGCCATGGTTAACTGTTTTGAATCCATAACAGAACATTAAAAAATAAGAAGAAAAAGCTTTTGAAAAAATGAAATATCATTTGTAAGTCTTAATGTACCTTTAAAGCGCGAAGTAACACTTTGCAATATATTTTATGCTCATCAGTTACAATATTATGAAAATACAATGTTTTTATAAAACTTATTAAAATTGTACAAAATGTAACAATTGAAGAAAAACGTGTGTGAGAACATATAACATCTACGGACTCATACAAGTATGATTTTGCGACTTACAGAAAATCTATAAGCATACAAGGGATGGGTATTTTAGGGTTTTTTTCACGATACGATTTTTCCATTGTAATGTAATTAAAACAATAATATATTGTTAAACTAAACTCTATACATACTATTTCATAGTACGGTAAAAAATGACGTGTCCAGTATTTTGAACAGCAATTATTCATCCTTGACAGTGAAATATTACATAATGGCAATATACATCTTGGCAGAAATGACAGAAAATAGTGTGTACCCATTTATATATTGTTTTTAGAGGTTAAATATTGACATTTGTGACTAGTTAAATGTGTAAAATTTGTCAAAAAATGGCATTTATTGGTTTGAGAAAGAACGAGGAAAAAATAAAAAATATATGTCGAATGAATTCAAAAATCTATGTCAAAGGAATTAGACAGGCTTTTTAGACAATCAAAAATAAAGAACAAATCATAGTTTCAGACTCATGTAACGCGGGGTTTTGGGACGTCAATTGCTTAAATTTTCTCTGATCTAGATTTATGATAATTATTTAGCTTCATTTGATGGCAACGAGTTTGCTATCATGATAAAACACCACGCACAAAGCCCATTTTTCTGTTTTAATAGAGTAATTCGTATTTATATTTACAACAATTCCAGCAAACAGTTTTTTCCGGCTATATAATACATTTAAAAAGCAACGCAGAAAGCTGCGGTACCATTCTGTGTTGTTTTGTTGCATTACCATAATTATTACATTAACCAATGAAATTAATTCAACGAATGTTTCACGTGAAAGTGTCATAAATGATATACATGTACAGTCAAAATTCAGAAGGCTGGTCATTCTTTAACAAAAGATAAATAGTCTTCGAATAAATATCCTAAGTCATAGATATCACATAATTGTAATCGGACTTGACCGAATTACACTAAAGTGTCAGCCTGTTAAATGCAATAAAAATGTCGGCCGCCTAGCTAATACATAACTCGTTGTTTTTTTTGTTTTTTTTTGTTTTTGTTTTTTTTTTCATTTCATTAATTTAACAAACTTGTTCTTTCATAATCAAGAAAATACTTTTATGAAAGGTTGAAAGGTATTAACAAGTATTAACAATGTCTCCAAATATTAAAATAATCAAATGAAAAAATAAATACTTCGTCTTTTTCTTCTTCTTGTGATTTTATACAGTCAATATCGAATGCTTTCAACGCCAATTTCATTGACAAGTCAGAATGAAATAATCATGCTGAAAAGGGGCCTCAATAAGTTTATAATCAAAGAAGTAAAGAATCGTATGCGAATTTATATTAATAAAGCATTAATACGTACATATATAATCATAGTTTGTTCGAAACATATAATTAAATGCTGCATATCTTATTTTTTTTTCTTCTTTTTTTAAATGTGGTATATACATTGTATAGACGAGTATATAAAATACAGACGTAAATTTATATCCCTGCAACAAAAATACGTCAGCAGAATGATAAAGAGATCATTATGAACGTGAACTTAAATTTAACCGCTACATGCAATTAGGTATTTAAATTTGAACCGTGCTAAAGTTTTGATAAAGTACTTGTGCAATTATGATTGAAAAAATTCAAATTGTTTAGTTTATTTATTTCGGAACTAAGCACCGTGAGTTTTAAATTCAGTGACCAGACAGATGCTATTTTGTATTTGTTTAACCCGGACAATGCCCAACTCGTAATTTGACTGGGCAAACAATACCAATAACGTATTTTGTTTACACTCGAGCAATATCAAGGCGGACAATACCCGTTTGTGTTTTTTTCTAAAATGATACAGATAATATGAAAAGACGAATATCCGTATTCACAGAATAAATTGACCAAAAATAATGAATTAAATTCAAGTCCATAATTTCCATTTCACATTCCCACTCATATTCTTTACATG